AAAAGAAAAGATAAAAGAATAATGATACAAGGATAAGCTAGGTTCGAAGTTAACTCAGCAATTGTTTCCCTGACAACGGCGCCAGAAATGCTTGTTGGTATAAATTAATACACGCAGAATAATCCGCAAGCGCATGGATAATATACCGATGTACCACTTCACCAAGAGTATCTAGTTTTATATCGAACTCGAGGAAACGTGTATGAGAATAACCAAATCTAACTTATCCCAACATCACAATCAAGGCTAGATAATAGGAGCGTAGAGGAGACCACTAAGGTCTTCTAGTTCTAACTTCGATAAGCTTTATCTTCTATTGTTCAATTCTGGGGATATTACTAGAGAAAACACAGGCAAAGTATGTTTCCTATAGCAACAATGTACTGCTAGGCCTATTAAAGGGAGATTGACTACAAATGATTCAACGAGGCTATAAGAGTCACCCTCGTGAGCTACCACCGATCCAAAAAATAGGGTACATCCATGAGTAACCCAGTATAAGCACCATGCTTACACTATGAATACTACTTTAACCCAGGAGCTACAAGGATTAAAGTACTCAAAAGAGAGTCGTAAATATAAAGAACAATATAAACAAGATGCTTACTTGAATTAGAAGTCGATTACTAGAGAAATCTCAGAAACAAGCTCAAGAAGAACTTGATTCCACCAGGGTACAAGCCGTAGAGAGAGCACCGATAGCTAGGACTCCTCCAAACTCTTCCCTCTCACTCTATCAGACTATTTCTAAAACAAGACTAGATCCTATTGAGGACTAATCTTCTCTTGATTGCTAGCTCTGATCCTGGTGGATATATGAATTAGGGTTTTTGCATTCTCAACTCTTAGGATCAAATGAGATATGCCCTAAAGGGCAGGTACAAGCTGGTATATATAGCCTAGAGCGTCCAACGTGAGCCCTTGGATCAAACCGACTCAAAGAATGGTGGAGATGCAATCCTTAAAGTGGTGGAGAACCGACATAACAATGAGGCTAACAGGTGGGGCCCACAGGGGCCAGGTGGCCTCCAGGTGGGGCCGGGCAGCCCCACGTGTCGGAGACACGTGTCTCGCTTCGGTGATTTGCCTTCTAGAGTCTTCCCACGTCGATTACGCGGCGGAATTCCGTGATTTCTTTTAACGAATAGGTCCTCCTTGGCGGTTTTCTGATTTAATCCTGCTGAAAATATAGATTCACCAAAACTCATGGAATTTATCAGTTTAAACTCCTAAGTATACATTGGCGATCCATTTTAGCCATTTATACAAGTTATATTAACGGTTTATGATTGTTGTTAACTACCATCAATAGGCTCCACACCCTAAAATAAGCAGGCCCAACAGAACTTACTTAAAGTAACAATACCGTTGGGAGTGAGATGGTGCAGCTATACCTCGAATGCTTCTAGGACTTGATGAAGGAAGCGCGCTGCTAGAAAGCGAAGGCCACAAAGGAAAAAGTCCTTGAAAACCACGGCATCAGCGGCTTGCGGTTTAGGAATCGTCTCTCCCTACGGAGGCTTCACCTTAGCATCACCAAAGCAGCCCAACTGCCGCAACTCCTCGATCATGTCCTTCGTCATGAGCGAAGGCCCAAAATCCCACGTCCTGGATGAGCCAGCCATGTCTCCTGCCTCCTCAGCGGTTATCAAATCAGCGACAGAGGCCTCAACTCCAGAAAGATCCTCCTCAAGCTCCAACGCCTCCGCGCTGACAATCATACACTCCTCAAACTGCGCAGACCACCCACTAGACCTAACACCAAGAAGGCGATGGTACGGCCCAAAGAAGGAAGCCCGGCGCGGAGGAGGACTAACAGGCGTAGCCACTTCCAAGACTTAGCGACAGCCCAAAGAGAGCGAAGGCAAACACCAACTAAGCAAAAACTAAGTGCAAAGGAACAGTGTAGAAAGCAACAGCAGTGAAAGCGATGGCTCAGATGGGGATGGGGGGAGCCTCCACCTACCGGCCCTTATATAGCCCCTGCCACGCCGCTTCGACTTCTGGGGCCAATGGTCTCATCCGTTCAAAAACACATCGGTTCCAGAGCCACCGCAGCCAATCAAGTAGCGACACGTCACCAACACAACGGTCTGATCTAGGCGCCCCAGTGGGGGAAGGAGGGAAGCCTCTGTGTGCGCAAGAGCCTCCGTGTCTCAGAGCACGAGGACTATGTTTTGAGGGCAAGGCCCTCCAGACAGGGAAGCCTCCATGCCTCAGAGCCTGAGGACTATGTTTTGAGGGCAAGGCCCGCTAGCATTAGACCAAGCCCTCAAGGGGGGAACTATTGGAACATGGTTATGAGTCACGGAGAACAAAGTTCGCAACAGCAATAAGAACTAACGATTAACGAGTTTCACGAGCAATGTGCAGGGAAAGAAGGTAGAGGCCTCCACTCGGCTGATCGCCCGAGGCGAAGGCAAGGAAGCTGGGGCAAAGGCGCCAGAACGCGGTTGAAGGTGGAGGCTCTTGCGGTATGAGCGAAGGCCGTGGTTTGGACGACGGAAGCGAAGGCCCCAGCGAAGGCTTCCCGTGCGGAGGTCCCGGGACCTATAGAGCTCCCACTCGGTGGTAACGCTGGGTCGTGGGCCAATGACGGGCCGTCGACGGTGGCCCAACAGGCAAAGGCAGTTGAAGAAGAAGATACCCAAACTGCCTCGGGCAACTTGTATTAGCATAGGAATATTTCGGGGATGTGCTATAATCGACAAGGGGTAAAGTTGTAAAAAGCAGCTCTAGCAAACAGTGCCATATAAAAGGGGGACTCAAACTCTGTACAGAGGAGGTTGGTGAATACATTTATGGAACTCTAATTGAGTTTGGGCCCACCTTCCACGTTACATACCTTTGACCAGGGCACCCGGCTGGGCGAAGGCTTGCCCTGTCCCTCCTGAAGGAAACCCCGTTTTCCAACACTTACCATTTGGAATACAGACGTAGATAGATACTCCCATGTGACATATTGAGAATGCTGGTGTAGTGGTGTGTGGTCAGCCGTCGCTTTTGCACTGTCACTCTGCTGGCATGAAGAGGCAGCCCTCATATGTTCTGTTGCCCAGTGCCTACTGCCGTGTGCACCATATCCTTCCGCCCTGTATATTCCACTAGTATACTGCGCGCTCCCTTGGGAAGTTAATTTTGTCTAAAAATGTTGAATGGCAGTGGTAATAGATAGTGTGGTACAATTACTGTACTAATTTGGGAAGAATAAGAGAAGAATTCGATTAGCAAAGCATACCACATATTGTTGGCTGACGGTGACATTGGTATACATCGTTCAACAATTGATAATAAGTGGTACCTACTCTAGCTATTGTTTAATGGCAGGGCACATTCTGTACAATGGAAGTTTTACACCATAAAAATATAACATGTGTTGAAAATCTTCTAACATCTGATCTGTATAAAATGTAAAAGTACATAGTCAATCATATGATGATGTTGGTTGTCACAGAGCCTTAAGTACTTTGATGAGCTTATTGTGCTCACCAAGCAATGTTTATCATAACCACCCACCTGTTTATGTAGGCAGTAGGCTATCATGAAAAATATTTTCACCAAGTTGGTTGTTGGGCAGTGCCAAGTTCACGTCGTCATCGGGTTATCCTTCACCCGTCTCTAGAGGCGTAGTTTATCATGGTTCACAGCCATCACCAGCATCCTCTTGCATCTTTGAGACCCCACTCTGGTGTGTTAGAAGAATATTTGTGAGGTGATCAATTATATTTAATGCGTCGGTAGACTTCGATGCTAACATCAACCTATTGAAAAAAAGGTCTTTTGTTATCGTCTATGTAATTTTTTCTAAGGTCTTTGTTATTGTGTATTTAATTTTATTAATTTTATTCTAAGGTCTTTGTATCCTAAATATTTCTAATAATTTATAATCAATTAAGGTCATTATTGTTGTTATATATCATCTTTACATGCCTGCATTTGTTGAACATTTAATTGCACATTAATGCATTAATTTTTATGACCTCGGCCAGGATTTGATTACAAATTAATGCCTTAATTACCCGATCAGGATTAAAACAAATTATCGACCAACGGCGTGGGTAGGTGTATATAATCCAACAGTGGTTACCTCGATCATTAATGCCAAACGGTTGGGTCTATTCGGGTCAGAGACAGGCCGGCAGTGATGTAATCCCTCCGTACTGGTAATTGCAAGGCATGATTAATTAGGGTGTAGTTTTCCTGTTTATCATTATTAAATAGGGTTGCGGTATCTTTCATACAAGAAATGTTCATGGATGGAGTGGTAAGCGCGCCGGCCTGAGGCAATAGGATGTTTGGGCGTGTTTTTTTTTTTTTCATCGTGCGGAATCCATTCACTGGCGCTCGATTTTAATTTCTTGTCTTCGCGCTCATTTGGTCCGACGTTTGGATCAGAGCTCGTGAATTTTGCATGGCACTGCGCGGCTCGTTTGGGCGCGTTCTTTTTTTTTTTTTTTTTGCATCGCGCGGAATCCATTCACTGACGCTTGATTTTTTTTTTTTGTCTTCGCTCTCATTTGGTCCGACGTTTGGATGTGTTCTAGTGCTCCATCTTGGCATCTTTCTTTTTCATCTGTGTGAATGTGTGTATGGGGGGATGAGCAGCGCATGCGGCGGCGCACGGGATGAACCTCGATTAGTATGAGCAGTGCTTGCGGCGGCGGCAGTGCGGAGGGCAGGGCACAGAAGCAGCGTGATTTACTCCCGTGATTTAATGAGCGCGTTAGGAAACGAAGAGTCAGGGGCTTCCGACTCGACACTGATTATCACATATGACGTATTGGATGTGGGACTTTTATTCGGCCTAAGAAGGCGTGTCCCTCAAAAGGCCCAAAACAAAGGCACGTCTACCGTGTGGCAACGAAGCCACAACGTGTTTGGGCTAAGGCAATCGAAGCCGTTGCCCATATGTGCCGTATAGAAACAACAAAAGCAGGACGCATTTGAAACTACAGAAGGTGATCCGCCGATCCACACCTGACCCACACATAGATGATCGATCATGGCTTGCTGATCATAGAGAGCCCAGATCCTCGCAGCTTTTCCTCCACGATGTCATCCAGCCTCCTCGCCATCTCCAGCGTCATGTGCGCCTTCCAGTCCCCGACCTCCCCCGTACGAAAGAAGGCCGAGTTCTTGAACCATGAACGGCCGTTCCGGTGCATCCCATCCCGGTTGGCCTGGACGCTCCTCATCTTGTCCATGCTGCACAGCGCCACAATCTCCGCGGGGACGCCTCTCTCTGCCTCCTCGTCGGTGAACGGGCAACCGAGGAATGCCGCCAGGCGTCTCACGCTCCCCACAGTCTCCTCCTTGAGGTCCTCGTACCGGAGGAACATCACCTCCTCCGGCCGTGCCACGCTCTCCTTCCAGTACTCGGCCATGTTGTCCCACACCGGCCCGAAGGGTGACACGCCGTCGCAGAACAGGTCGAACGCCTCGGCGAACGGCGTCATGCTACAGGACCCCTCGGGCTTGATCTCATCGAGATAGTGACGCAGCGAGACAAAAGCGTCCTTGGGGTCTCGGCACAGGTAGAGGACGCGGCACGCAGACTCCCGCACCGACGCCGGCAAGGCCGTGAACGGCGCGTGCACGGCCAGGATGCGCGGCGATGGCATCTCTTCGAGGAGCGGACCAGGCGGCGCGGAGAGGTGGTTCTCGTAGATGGAGTGCAGGAACGGGACCACGTCGTGCGGGCTGGAGGCGAGGAGCGGGTGGCGCTCGTCCGCCGGCGCGTGGTGGCTGCGGTGCACGACACAATAAACGAGCGCTTTAAGCCACGTCGTGCCGGACTTGGGAATGGTGGCGAGGATGACGTCGGTCGGGCGGGCGACGAACGTATCCCGTATCGCCAGCGTCAGCACCAGCAGGTGCTCCGGGTACCAGAAGCCTTCATACTTCCGGTACGGGAAGCTTCCGATGCCCTTCTCGGATGCCGGGAGGGACGATGCTAGCGCCTCGTACTTGGAGAAGAAGGTGTTTGTGCATCCGTTATCGTCGGTGACCATCTTGCCATAGACGACGTGTCGTCTATGTGGCTTTTGTTCTATTGTTATACGTATATATAGGCACTCATCAACACTCTTTGGCGGCATTGGAATCTGTGGCGTTTGCATGACACTACTGTTCTTCGACACAGCTTTCGTGTTATTTTTTAGAACGTAACTCGGTTCCATTGCTAGTACCGGTTAGAAAATGTTGCATGCAGGACTCAATTGCTTTTATGTTCGGTGAAACTCACTCCAAACTCACTCCGTCCTAAACTAAATAACTTTTTAAGATTTAAAATATAACCCAGAATAAATGGCATTCTACATAAACATGTACCACTACCTCTTAATGTGAAAGCTGGTTATAGGTGCATGCAAGCGATAACTGTCAAATTCAAGAGATATACCCTTCAAGAAAGAAAAGGAGTTGAGGATACATTTGTTTTTTTATCAACACTCACTAGTAGAGAACAGACCTTTGATTCTCGGTCAAAATGGGCTCTAGTCCCGGCATTTTTTGCGCCCGGGACTAGAGATACCTTTAGTCCCGGTTGGTGGCTCCAACCAGAACTAAAGGTCCTACTACCAACTCTCTCGGCGTGGCTGAAGGGAGGTGGGAGAGACCTTTAGTCCCGGTTGGAGCCACCAACCGACTAAAATCTCCCCTTTATCGGTTGGTGGCTCCTCCCAGGGAGTAAATCTACTCTCGGCCGTGTTCTTGCTTTGAGCCGGGGTTGAAAGTTATCCATTTTAGTCCGTCCGGTTGGATTCCACCAATTCGTTGGACTAAAAGTCCCATTTCTTATATCATTTTGTTCACTATCTCTCCTTCTTTATTGTGGTTTTTTCATTTGTAAGCAATTTGAGCTCAAAATCACTTCAAGCTTGCATATTTACATGAAAGAAGGTTAAAGTAGCTAGTTGAACTTGCGGACCGTGTTCATCTCGGTGAGCATGTTCTCTCTAAGCGATAGCGGACGTCAAGGAGGAGCTTTGATTCTACGAGGAGAGAGCAGCGATGTCGTGGAAGACCGTGTTCCTTCCTCGTAGAATCGGAGCTCTTCCGTAACCAAGCACGGTGCCGTCCGGTGGAGAAAGGCTCGCCGAGATGATCACGTAAGCAAGTTCAACTATCTGAATGGTTATTTATTCATATGTCCCAATATATATCGCGCAGTGAGTCATCAATCACCGTACCCAAACGTAGTATATATATAAATATAAACTTAGAAAATAGTTAGAAAATTATAGAAAATCCGTACTAGTTGAACTTGCGGACCGTGTTCATCTCGGCGAGCATGTTCTCTGCCGAAGCGGTAGCAGACGTCAAGGAGGAGGTTTGATTCTACGAGGGAGAGGCGGCAGCGGTCGTGGAAGACCGTGTTCCCTTCCTCGTAGAATCGGAGCTCTTCCTTGACCAAATCTGATGTGCCGTCCGGTGGAGAAATGCTCGCCGAGATGATCACGTAACAAAATCAACTAGTATGATGGTTATATTATTAAAACATGTTTTTGAGATATAGATAATTTTATAGTTTCTTAATTTTATTTGTTTATAAAATGAGAAATTTATAGTGTATTAAAAATGAGTATAGAGAGTAGAATGTGGCTGCTTCCGGGTCCTCGGCCTCTCATGGGTTTCAAAGCGACTTAGGCGGGTCTCCTCTCATTCCATGCGGCAAGTGTCGTGATGAGGCGAAGATTGTGATGGAGTACCGAGTGAAGAAGGAGGGTCCCAACAAGGATCGTATCTTCTACAAGTGTCCGGATCGCATAATGTGAGTTATTTTATCGTATTTAATGATTATGGTTAGTTTATACCTATTTTCATGATGGTTGTGATTAAAGTTCTAATTTTTGTTTTAATTTGGTGGGATGGCGGTGGGCGATGTTCAGGGCTTCTCTTTGGGAGGAAGAGTATGTTGAACTCGTGCAAAAATATCTTGCACAACTGCGGAATGAATCTGGTGACTAATGAGGCGTTGATCCAGCCGAAGAAGCCCAAAGATGTTTACAATCGGGGATACATGCATTTTTTAGTTGAGATTGGTGTGAAATCCTTGTGCTCTGAAATATATTTTAGCTTTAGTTCTTTTAGTGGTAGTTGGTATTGTCTACATTGTAGCGATGCTTTCATAAATTTGTACCTTTTGTGGTGGCACACATGTTGTATAAATAATTAATTATGATCTAGGTTTTAATATGGTATTTATGTCATGTAATGCGAGATGAGCGGCATTGGATGTACAATGTTGATCGCCGCTCCCAAGAGTTCATTGGCGTGCATGCATTCTTTGTTACGTCTTGGTGAGGCAAACAAACGCGATGGTTTCATGTGCTGTCCATGTGTCATATGTAAGAATATGGTGTAATATCCTTGCTCAAGGACTCTTCATTCACACTTCTTCAAGTCGGGTTTCATGCCAAACTATATTTGTTGGATGAAGCACGGAGAAACCGGCATTGTAATGGAAGAAGGTGAAGAAGAACAATGGGACGACAATGATATTATTCCCGATGGTCCATGCTTCAAGTAATCTTGCAATGGAGAAAAGTGAAGAAGAGGTAGCCACGAGAAGATGAGCCTCTTGATGATCTTTGTCAGGTCATTCGTGACGCACAAAGAGAATGTGAAAGTAAAAATAAGAAGATCAAGTTCGAGCGGATGCTAGAAGATCACAACAAATTGTTGTACCCAACTTGTGATGCAGGGCAGAAAAAGTTGGGAACCACACTAGAATTGCTGCAATGGAAGGCAAAGAATGGTGTATCGACAAGGGATTTGGAGAGTTACTAAAAATCCAAAAGAAGATTCTTAGAAGGACAATGAATTGCCCGCCACTACCTCTGAAGCAAAACAAGTTATACGCCCTATGGGGCTAAAAATCGAGAAGATACATGCATGTCCTAATGTTTGCATCCTATACCGTGGCAAAAGTCACGAGAAATTGGATGCATGCCGGTATGCCATGCATCGTGGTATAAGATCAAAGCGAGAGATGACCTGGTGATGTTGAGGGTGAATGCCCACGGAAGAAAAATCCTGCCAAGGTTATGTTGTATGCTCCTATAATACCACGCTTGAAGCGTCGTCTGCGAGAAACAAAGAGCGTGCAAAATTGTTGCGATGGCACAAAGAAGACCGTAAGGTAGACAATATGTCGAGACACACCTGCTGATGGGTCCCGGTGGAGAGCAATCGACGAGAGAATTCTGAGTTTGCAAATGGACGCAAGAAACTTAAGGTTTGCTTTAAATACAGATGGTATCAATCCTTTTGGAGACAAGAACAGTAGTCATAGCACTTGGCCTATTACTCTAAGTATCTACAACATTCCTCCTTGGTTATGCATGAAGCGGAAGTTCATTATGATGACTGTGCTCATCCAAGGCTAGAAGCAACTTTGGCAATGACATCGATGTGTACTGAGACCACTTATTGACGAACTTCTCATTTTGTGGAATAAAGAAGGTGTATGCGTGTGTGGGATGAGTACAAGCAGGAACACTTTGATCTCTGAGCATTGTTGTTCGTAACAATCAATGATTGGCCTGCTCTAAGTAATCTTTTAGGACAGTCAAACAAGGGATATAATGCTTGCACACCTTTAGCCGGTGATATTAGAGGTGTATTCTTGAAAAAAATGTCGAAAGGTCGTGTACCTTGGCCATCGTCGATTTCTTCCTGCAAATCACCCGTAAGAAAGAAAGGCAAGCATTTTAAAGGGGGAAGGGACCACGACCAAGCCTCATAACCGAACCGGTGAGGATGTACTCGATATGGTCAATGATGTGAAAGTCGTCTTTGGAAAAGGACATGGAAGCCAACTTTGTTCGAGCAGCGCTAATGGTCAAGCACCCATGTAGAAGAAGAAGTCCATATTTTGGGACCTACCCTATTGGCAAGTCCTAGAGGTTCGCACTCGATCGACGTGATGCACTGACGAATAATCTTTGTGTGTGAACTGCTAGGCTTCATGGGTGTGTATGGAAAGCCTAAGGACACATTTGAAGCACAACAGGACTGCGTTGTTTGAGAGAAAGAGACAACCTACATCCGGGAGAAGGCAGATGATGGGCGCCATTACTTAAATCCCCCATGACTACACTCTAAGCAAAGAGGAGAAGGAAATCATGTTTGAATGCTTAAACAACATCAAGGTACCATCTGGATTCTCCTCGAATATAAAGGGTATTATAAATGTGCGGAGAAGAAATTCTATAACTTAAAGTCCCATAGTATCACGTTCTCATGACATAATTACTTCAGATTGCATTAAGAGAATTCTACCTCCAAATGTATGTCTAGCCACCGTGAAGCTATGTGCATTCCTCAATGCAATTTCTCATAAGGCAATTGATCCAAGCCGATCTAGCTAAACTCTTGAATGATGTGGTTCAATGTCTCGTCGACTTTGAGTTGGTGTTCCTCCTTCCTTCTTTGATATCATGACACACCTCCTAGTTCACCTAGTCAAGGAGATTTTCATTCTCGGTCTGTGTTCCTACACAACATGTTCCCCTTAGAGATATTCATGGGAGTCTGAAGAAATATATTCACAACCGTTAGAAGGAAGCATCGCCAAGGGCTATGGAAGAAGAGGTCATTGAGTTCTTTGTTGACTTTATTCCGACCTTGACTCGATTGGTGTTCTGAATCGAGACATGAGGGGAGACTAAGCGGAAAGGGGACACTAGGGAGAAAAACATATATTGGTACGGATGATGATTATTTCAATAAAGCGCTATCTACAGTTCTGAGAACTCCTCTTTGGTAGATCCGTATATTGAGACACACAAGGATCTCTTACGATCCGAGTTTAGGGAAGCCGAAGCTTGGATTACAGCGTAAGCACGTGGAAACTTTCGGTTGGTTGCAAAAAAAATGGGTGATGAGAGTATCCATGAGCAATCAGATGTATTTATTGGCTATGCAACCATCATGGCATATCATCACATACAAAGGGTACGAGATAAAAGGGAACATATTCTACCCGGGAGTAAAGGTGGGCTGTAGT